ACTTCCCATGACAAATCATACTTAAGCTGAAATTATAAATTTATCTGATGATAAATTTACAGTCTACTTAGAAAGAAAGATAAACATACTGATTTTGATTCTATGATCAGTATACAGGAGTATTTAATAAAAAGAATGAGCTGTTCTAGAAGACTATTACTAAATCATACATTTTGGAGCTGTTTCCTCCAAAAAATGCTAAATCCTTTCACATGACAATCCCAAAAGAATTCCATCCTTCAGCATTATCTTATGGATCACAAAGATATAAGACAGTTAATATATCACTGTTTCCTACTTGTAAATATATTGTCATAAGAGATTTTAGCATAGGGAAAACAGAATCCCCAAAGGAAGACCCAAGCTAAAAAGATGAAATTAAACATGGTTAGTTTTAAGTTAACAATTTCATGTGTGTATTACACACAGTTGTACACACACACATTCAATGTAAGCCATATTGTGGTAATGACACCTTAAAATTTTTGTTCAACACAGTTTGGGCCTATATTAACAAAGAGTCAGAAACAGGATCTCATTTTTGTATTCTATGCTGGTTTCAGACCACATAAGTACTGCCTTCTTTTCAGCTTATTTTAAGATAAATACTGAAAAAAAATCAAAATGCTTTAGAAAGCAAATGATTTTAGAGATCATGTCATGAGGATTGATTAAATGAGAGTTGTGAAGCAGTCATACTAAAGAATAATTAGACTTCTTGTGTGTTTTGAGAAGGTAATTCTAGGACTAATAGAACCAGATTTCAGCTCACTGTCATAAAGAACTTTCTAATGGTTTGATGTATCTATAGAAGGGGTGAACTGCTTTGACAGTATAGTGTGATGGAGGTGTTATGACAAGAACTGTATAGACCCTGTCAAGGGTGTTGTGAATGAAAGGGTAGAGTAGATTATTTCTAAGAATGTTTACAAGTCAAAGATACTATGTGCCTGCCTATGAAAAGAGAACTTGACTTGAGTGTAGCTTTTTTTTTTTTCCTGCAGTATCCACTAACATATTCCTTATTTGCTTTGCATTCGTTTTGCTGATGTGGAAATTTCAGAGAAGAAAAAACTTGCATTGCTTTTATCTATCATTAATAAAATAATGATAATACTTTTCACTTATGCAGCACTTTTCACCCAAGGATTTCAAAGTGCTTTACAAATACGCACTAACTAAGCCTCACAAACAGCCAGAGGTAGGTGATTTTTCTCTGTTTCTACAGGAATGCCATCTTCTCCGGCACAGAAGTCTCAGCAGCGCCTCGGAGTGCCTAGGACTCCCTGCTGGCTGCCATTCCCCTTGTCATGTGCTGCATGTGAAGCATCACTTGTCATACCTGGATTTCTTTTTTCCCTCCCTCTCTGAATCATCTCAAGTTGAGAATTCTAATGAATGCTGTTGAAAATTTATTCTGAAGCCTTGTAAATATTACAGAAAATTTAGTCTTTTGCTTGCCAAATGCTAATTAGATCTCTAAATGTTTGTTTAAAAGTAAAACCTAGGTGTGGTTTTAAGTTGAACTTTAAATATATTTTTTTACTTAGGAAGAACTTACGATTTTTTCTAAGTACCCCAAAATCATTGTTCTTGGGACATGAAACTTAATAGCAAATGGATTGGAGGGGGCCTTACCTTTCCTAGATGTCTTTCCACAGCAAACAGTAACCATTTTCTTTAGAATTATATATTTTCAAGAAACATTATTGCATTTTGGTATTTTTCTAATTAAAAGGTCTAAAATACGATACCTGGATGTTGAAGGTAAAGGTTAAATGGCACCACATAATTAGTCTTGTAAAGGAAATGTGGTCTAGTAGTGGCATATTCTAATCTAAAGGAATACACAGCTTTTTTATATAGGTTAGGAGTACCAGGAAGAGAATACCTACGTACAGAAACACCCATGCGAGTGTTGGATTAAATTCCAATATAAACAGCCAAATACACGAACTCTTGTCTGAAGCAGGTTGGTCACATAGGGCAAGAGCAGGTACGGCATATCACAGTAGTCTCTCTCGGTTTGCAAGGGCCCTGGTGACGGCATGCAAGTGGCTTTAATACTATGTACTCTTAAGTCTTAGTGGGTTAGGAGAAGACAGTTTTTGCTGTGACACTTCCTTTTATTTTCATGTGTCTGTCCCTTTCCAGCAGAATTTATATAATCTTATCTGCTTTCTATTCAGAAAACTTACATTAGGCTCTCCTGGTTTTGAACCAAATTCAGCATTAACAAGGCTACATCTTTATGCCAAGGGAGAAAATAAAGTGTCCACATGTCCCAAAAGAATATCTATATCCAGGTTTTAGCATCCCCGGAAGTCTAACTTCCCCACTATATTAGAACCAAATAAGTGACTAAAGAATCAAGCTATTCTGTTTCAAAGTGAATTTTATTTAGAAGATATTAATTGTAGGGATATGATTGATCTTTCATAATACAAAAGGATGTAGGACTTACGTGAGACTATCACCCAAACTAGTTACAATGTTTCAAACATTCTTTAAACAGCAATTTGATCTGTAATACATGATGGATAATTTTGGAAAAACTCATTTTATAAGTTGATTTCAAATTCTCTTATTTGAACATTTTTTCCAAGTGGTATTTATGGAACTTCAAAAAAATTGGCTTGTATGTTGTCACTGGCTTGAGTGCATAAATAGAAGTTTATCACAGTAAACCTACAGGCTTGGAAACTCAAACTCTGATGTTCAAGGTTTTGTCTTACTTTCACTGACATGGGGATACATAATTCTTACCAAAAAATGTGACTGACATATTTAAAAAAAACACTATTCATTTGTCAATTCAATTTACGATGAAAGTATAACTATCAGTTAGATAAGATAAACTTAATGTCTTGTTGGCAGGTCATATGAGGAAACAGTAATTAGACGTTTGCTTATTGGTCATAGAAATAAAAAATAGTTTTGCAGTTTGAATATATAATAACTTCAGACTCAGAACCTTTGTTAAGGCCCCTTCCTCAATGAGGACAAGCCTGTGAAAATGGTCATATAGTCCTGATGACGTTATATGTCACCCCAAGGAGTTGCTTGGGTTGGTTCTACTGCAGCGTGGCCTCTGAAGAGCTCCTTTTTCTGTGCCAACGTGGCTGACAGACTCTCTTCTCAGTATCATCATCACCTTTTAGATAGAATTGCTGTCATATTGTTCTGTTGTGAGATGTTCTATTTTGAAGGCACTTTTGTGTATACATTCACTGATCAATCATATTCCTCTTGTTTCCAAGTTCTTAAGAGTAATCTCACCACAGCTGCTAGACTGATAAAGACAAAATTAAATTGAGTTTTACCTAAGTCTTCTGCTATTTAGCTTCAGAAAAGATGCTTTAAAATGTAAGGAGGGAGTAGCTGAAAGATGAAAAAGGAAAGGAGCTAAAATCCACAGGCTATATAGTTATCCTTTATGTAATTGACAGTTTTTTAGTTGCATGAGTATTTGTTAGCCTTAGTGCTTCAAGAGAAAATTTTTCAATGGCCAACTTTTCCTCTGTTTTTAAACTGATACAGCTATGTCTAGTCATGGACTCCATTCATTTCTAAAACATTTTTAAAGCTACCTCTAGAGTAGTAATTTCCCTTTATCAGAAAATTTAATCTTTCTTTTCACGGGACCAAAGTGGGAAGGGCATACTTACATTTTGGCATTTCAAAATAAAATTCAGACTTAAAAATTTCAAACAGCTTTTAGAAATAACAGACAACTTTTTATATAGAAGGAGCCCAAAAGTTTGATCTGTCCAGGATCTTTCATTACAGATTCTAACGTAAACCTTGTATTTTAGAAATCCCATTCCCCTGCAAGGTAGATTCACATAAATTATTAATATATGCCCTTTATTTTTAGTGTTTAGTCCTAATCCAACACATGCACACAAATTATTTTAAACCTTAACATTTTAATAGTTACTTCTAAAGTGTTTTAACTTAATCTCATGTTGTGAGAGGAAGTTACTGCCTATATGAATATATTTTTTAATCATTGAGATTTTGCTGATAAAGGGGAAAGTGTCTTTCCATTTAGCATAATCTCAAACAATCTTAAATCATTTAAATATATTTATTTTTCAAAGCTTACATTTCTGCATTATGAATAATTTCTTTTGATTGGAAATAAGCTCACTAGCATTCACTGCATGAGCTATGCATGAGCATGTTAGAGCTGCCATATTTGCCTGGCAAAATAAGTATCTTGTCATTTTGCTAAGTGTTTAATAATTCTCTGACTCTTTAAAAGTGCTTTTTCTTCTAAATTTTTTATTAGATAAAAGAATAATTTTTAAGTAATAGTTTATCCATGTTTCAATCTACATTTGTAACTTCATTCTACCTTTATAATCAGCTTGCTATAACTCAAAACATGCACTATTTAGTCTTTTTTTTTTTTTTTGCATTGAAGAGTCAGAAGAAGAATTTGCATATCAAATCTGGCTAACTTCCAAATTTTTAAAAATTCTTTATCTTCTATAGTCATAGTCTTGTAGTATGATTTGGCTCTGAGTGAGAGATTACTGCTAGAACGCAATTGCATGTCCTTACTAATAGTGGATTAGTCCTATGGAATAGAGATCTTACTATAAATAGCAAAACTCTACTAGTTTTAATTTTATCATTTCCTAGTAATGTATTCTATTACTTATAATTGCTAACATGTAAAATATCTATTCTGGCATATAAGCCATATATGAGTGTAATTTATTAAAACTTTTCTGATCTTTCTTTCTCTTTGCCCTGAATGATGCCTGGTGATAGAGATTTTCAATATTTTTAACACATTATTAGAATTAAATAGTTATTAATAAACATATTTTTATGGCTGTACTAATTTAAAGAAGAAAAAAAGTTAATAATAGCCAGCCACGTAAGCTATTTTGCTGCTAGAGAATTTCAGAGGTGTAAATCTCCAGGCCTCTTACTCGACCTGCATTGGGATGAAGAATATAATTTACTATTCTTCCTTCTCTTTTTAGCCTTGGAATGGATGGCTTTGGCCAGTCTGTTGGCATTCTTGGACGCCCTGCCACGGCTTATGGATTCCGCCCTGATGAACCTTACTACTATGGCTGTGGGTCTCGGTAAAGTCATCCCTCTCCCTGTGTGCTTCCAGTTGAGAAGGCATCTGTGTGGGTTGGGTTAACTTTGAATCTTGGCCTAATAATGCATGTTGATACTATTTGCAGGTCTGTGTCTCTTTTTAATATTCCCTGTTAGCTGCAGGTTAACTTCAACCCCTTCTGTCCTATGTTAAGTACAGTTTATGCTTGACCCTGTTCACTCATCAAACCACATCTCAATGCTGAGTAACATTTACCATGAGACTCAAAAGTGAATGCTGAAAAGCACCTAGACTGGAAAACAAACACTGCATTATGTACATTAATTGACTAATTTAATTTCTATTAAAAAGAAGCATAAAGTACAAATGAATTGGCAAAAATCATGTGTTTCTATTTATTGAGTTTCATTAGGAGTTACATGCTTATATAGAGTGCATATAAATTTTATTTTTTTCCTGCCCCTTTTTCCCCCCTTGTAAACTCTTGAGTATTTCACGTGATACTGCTACCTTTAAAATTTATAAAAAGAATATCACCTTTTTTATTTCATGCCATGTGCCTGAAAGGTTGCTTCCCAAATTTATTAACTATGATTTTTTGATTAATGGTGGAACATATGCCATAATTACATTATTTGTGAGTAGAGTTTCTTCCGCAGTTAGTTCAAATTAATTTTGTCTTTTTGATTTTAATATAGAAAACCTAGAACATATATTAGTATACATGAAACTAGGTTAGTATTGGGTTTTTAAATTTTACTATTCATGAAGTCTAAAGTATGGAAAAGCTAATAAGTCTCTTTGACAAAAACTAAAGAACAAAATATTTTGCTCACTTAGATACGCATTTCCCATTTGTTCACTTGTTTTTACTAGATAGGTAGAAATGGAAAGATATAATGAGTTGTGAAAATAACTCATTCATGTTATAATATGGAAAAACTTACTTGAAAAACAGAGCAAATAAAATAAATATAATATACAGATATTTCCTTGAGCACCTGCTGTGGAAGAAATTATATGAGACTTTGAAGTGAATTCGTAGATCAAAGACAAGAATTTAAAATCTCATAGGTCTACTATACTATTTATTGGACTTGATTCATATTTTAAGCATAAATTAGTAGAACTGGAAAGAGCCTTTGAAATAATTCAGTCCTCTACTTATTTGTGAAACCAATCACATATAAACTTAAAATATAGTCAACAGATATTTTCTTACCACCTGCTACATATAAGAAAGTATATCATGCTCCTTAGGGAATAAATGAATCTAAGACATGATTTGTGTCTTTGAACTCACAACATAATTGATATTTATTTATTTTTGTGTTTATAGAAACATGTATTTATTTGTCTTGGTTTCTGTTTTAACTATAGGATAGTAAAACTGGAAAGGGCCTTAGAAACAACCCTATCAAACTCCTTTCAGTTGGAAAAACCATGCCAAGAGAAATTAAATGACTTTCCCAAACTTATGTATTTTTCTGTGACATAACTTGCTTCCAATGCAGTAACATCGATACTAAGTATCATGCCTTAATTACTTGTCATATGTACAAAGTATAAATACAAATAAGAAGTGATATTATTAGAGAGATAAAGCAAACATTCTATAACTTCCCTCATACTATTATAAACTGATTTAGGAAGAATATTCAAAACAATTCATAACACTTCGAGGGTGGGCTCCAGCATTTACATGCACATGCTCATTCTCCCTGTATATATTTTTGTAATTTTTATTTTAGAAATTTACAGATTTAGAAATTATGATCTTTCCACTCAGGCTGGACTAATTTATCTTTGCATTATTTATGAAGGAAAGTTTTGACTAAAGGAATAAGGAAGAATGTCTAGCATTCTTACATACTTAAGAGAACAAAAGGGTTTTGCCTTGGGCAAAAATACAATACCTTTTATGTGTAAGAAATATAAAAATAGAAATACCTTTTATATGTAAGTCAGATATCCTGGCCTTACCAGATTTTGACTACAAGTTAGAAGTCACATTTACTTTAAGAACTAAATTGCCATGGCCTCAACTCATGGTTTATAGCTGGGAATTATTTCTTCTCAAGAGTTTTCTGCTCTTTCTCAGAGTTCCCTAAAGTGCTTCCTCACATGGGGCCAAGGATAGGTTCCCTGTATTCTGTTCACTCCTCTCGTGTCCACACCGCTCTGTCCAGCGTGGTCATCTTCCTGACATCACAGCTGCCCTCTCCATGGAAGAGCCACCGTTACATTCAGTCAGGACAACTGCTCCACCCTTTGTTTGCCCCTTCCATATATGACACATGCCTATTGCTTAACTCTGCACAGCACAGTAGAACTAGCCATGTGTCCTACCATGACTTCACAGCGACTTCAGAAATGTTGTGAGGCACATCACACAAAATGACGTGCTACCATCACTAGTTGTAGCTGTGATCAGAGCTTACAGTCAGTAGGCTCCCACTTGGCCTCATGTGGCAGGGCTTACTCCATGCCACCAGGAATATGCCAAGAAACTTTAGCAGTCAAAGACTAAGCCAGATTGTCAGAAGGTCTCACACAAAAGAGAATGCCTTTTCTTCAACTCAGTTGAAGGCCTATTTTCAGACTCTTTGTTTCTTGTTACAAGATTTTTTACTAGCTGCCTGGTCTTCAAGGTTTTAAAGACCTCACATATTTTAAGTCATGAAGCCAAGAATAAGAGAGAAATACAGATTGATCTTCCTACTTTTTGCCAAGTAGTACCTGAAGGATTTTTTCCAGATCCAGTCAGTTTGTCCTGTTTATTGACAAATTTTCCAAAATTCTATCATTGAGGATACATCAACATTTTCAGTGAGGTGAGTTGTGTTCTTTTGGGTCTTTGTTGCTAGCTCAATGAGAGTTTGGAAAATAATGGCGTCATATCTAAAATCCCACATACACATTTTAGCCAGGTACATGACAGCCTACTAAAGTGAAGAGATAACATTAAACTTCAATATATGTTTTCTTTGGAGTATAGCAGAACCTCCCTACTATTTGGGATAAAGACTTGAAATAGAGCTACATTAAAGAATAGAATTTTTAATAATACTGAAAAAAATCAGCAATGGGGAAGGAAAGTTTGATATACTAATATGACAGAGGAAAATAACAGATTAAATAATATGTAAGAAAATAATGTAGAAGATAAAAAGCAGAGCATCAAACATTTGGGTCATTTTCCAAAAAAAGAGTTTTTTTTTTTTTTTTTAAGGTATAGAAATAATAGCCAAAGATAATAGAAGATGATATTTTTCAGCTAAAAAGGATTTTTCCCCTGTAATATGTGAACCATTTTTTAACATGGACCCCTGATGCAAAGAACTGACTCACTGGTAAAGACCCTGATGCTGGGAAAGATTGAAGGCAGGAGGAGAGGGGGATGACAAGAGGATAAGATGGTTGAATGGCATCACCAACTTGATGGACATGAGTTTGAGCAAGCTCTGGGAATTGGTGATGGACTGGGAAACCTGGCGTGCTGCCCATGGGCTCGCAAAGAGTTGGACACGACTGAGCAACTGAACTGATTGACATCTATTTTGACATACTGCAGGAAAGCTCTTGATAAAAATGAATTAAAATTTCATAAGAATCCTGGAAAGAAAGACAAAATACCTTCCAAAAAATTAACTGCCCTTAGACTTTTGACATCAAGGGGCATAAGATAGTGGAGTCTTATCCATAGAGTTGTTTGGTTTTAGTGATAGTTAGAACCCAAAAATACCATACTTAATCAATTTCTTTGGTTTTGGTTTTTCTTTTTTTTTTTTAGGTTCTGTTTTTATTTGGTTTTTCTTTTGGCTTTTTTGTTTTGTGAAGGAGATGGATATTCTTAAGTGAGAAAGATCTCATAGGGGAAGCCTATCTGTGAAGAGAGAGAAATCTTCCCTGAAAATTCAAACATGTTTGAATATCTTTGAAACTGGAGTTCAAATTTACACTATCTGTATAGTATTGGAAACTCTGGAGCACATGGCAGAAATAGGCACAAATCTCCTCTTGAAGAATATACCTTCAACCCAGGTTTCACAAGATTCTCACAGAATAAGATCAACTGATAATGAACTCATGGAAAGATTACAAAGCACTGGAGGAAACAAGTCACAGTAAGATAGCAGAAACAATAAAATGAGGCACCTTCCCCCATCAGATGTTGGAATTTTCATTCAGAGAATATTCAAATGTGTTAAAGTATTTAAAGAAGTAAAGGAATGTAAACATAAGTAAGAAATAAAAGACAAATGGAAAACTAGAAGTTCTAGAAACTTTGATATTTCAAGTTCAGTAGATGAGTTATAAACAAGTTAGACACAACTGAGGAAGATAATATAAGTTAGATTTTTTTAAAGTTAGCCAGAATACATCACAGAATGATTTATAAATATAAGCAATTATGGGACACAAATATAGGTGGAAAGTTCTAGGAGAAGGGATAAGGCAATACTTGAGATAATTTTCTAATATTAAAGATGAATATATCTTCAAAATGAGTGTCTTAGGCTGTTTAAACCACTAAAACAATACTGCAGACTGTATGGGTTATAATCAACAAGCATTTCCTTCTCATAGGAAGTCCAAGATCATGGTGTTGGCAGATTTGGTGTGGTGGCTAATAAGGGCCACTTCCTATTTCATAGATGTTACCTACTCACTGTGTCTTTACATGATGAAATAGACTCTTTTAAAAGGAGCACTAATTCCATTCATGAGGGCTCCACCCTTATGTCCTATCCTAAGCACCTTCCAATGACTCCACCTCCTAATATCAACCCACCTTGAGGGTTAGGTTTCAACATATAAATTGTGCAACTGTGCAAACATTCAGGTCAAAGCAATGAGGAAGAACTCCAAATCTGAAGACAGGAAACACAGATTTATCAGCATGAAACTACAGCATATCAAAGAGGAAAAAAAAAAAGACAAAACTCAGCAGGATATTTGATACTATAATTAGGCTGACAATTATGGAAGCAAATAGCCAGTAGAAAAATATCTTCAGTGA